ATTAAGTTGAGTTAATTTTGATTTTTAAAAATAAATAAATAAATAAACCAAGACATGTGGCCGAAAGCGGAAGGGATCTTTAAGGACTCGTTGCAGTCCATACAGCTCACCATTCAAACCAACGGGCAACAACAGAGTCCAAGACCAAGAAGAACTGCTACTTTTTCATATTCAAAAAAGCAAATAAAAAAAGGCAACAATTTTTAGGCAACAATTTTTATTTTTGATAAATAAAAAAAAAAAAAACCAACATTTTCTCCACCAATAATATCTAGAGGGGGAAACATATCTTTTTTGGCCAATTGGACTGGACCCCACTCCATTAGAATACATGACATTCCAGCTAGTCTCCCACACCCAATGTCTATATTATATATTGACGATATACATTATATAAATATGTATAGATTCCATACTATTTTATTCACACAAACCATTTAGATCACAATATAAATGCCCCCATTTAAGATCGAGTACCCTCTATGTCAGACATCCACCGTGGGTCAGTGTTATTGGTCTTATAAATCATTCTATCTCTTATAAGATTTTTCTTACAAAAATTACTAAAATTTTGGTTTATTTCTTTTCGATTAAGTTTTATGCATTCCAAATCATAAAAATGGTAAAATTTTCATAATTCATGTCGTATAAAATTTTCACACAAAAATTACTAAATTTTTTAGTTATTTCTTTTCACTTAAGTTTATATGCATTCCAATCATTTTCAAAACTTGAAAAAAAAAAAAAAAAAAAAAAAATTTAATTTATTCTAATCAAATTCATGTTTAAAATTTTATGTTTTTTTTTTTTTGGTTTTTGTATTATTGATTTTAGTTTTTGTTTGTTAACTTACACTTTTAACTATTATTTTATATTTAACCAAGCAAGACAAGAAAATTAAGGATGCTTTTGTGATTGGAGGAACAGATGAATGAAAAGACATACAATGATTGATTCTGTTTTTCGTTACTAGACAATTAAACAATAAAAAAATATTTTAAAGTTTTCAAAATTCACTTGTTTAAAACTTTTTCGGAAACTATTATATGATATAAGAAAGAAAGAAAAAAATGACTCAATTTTAAAGAATAGTCTCCTTTAGGGAAAAAAAAAAAATTGAAAAGAACGAAGAAAAGAAGGGACAGTGATCTTGTCTTTGTTTCAGTTTGCAATTCAAGACAGTAATAATTTATTGTGTTGATATAATTTATAATAATATTAATTTATAACTTTTTATAATAGGTTTATTTGTTTTTCCCTAAGGCTCCGTTTGGTTAGCCAGAAAATTTTATGGAAAGTGAAAGTGAAAGAAAGTGAAGTGAAATAAAGGAAAATCAAGTTTCTATCATGCATTTGGTTAGCATGAAATATTTTGAAGAAAATTGTAAAAAAATATTATTTTATTAATTTGGATAGCATAAAAATAAAAAGAAAATTATTTTACTTACCGAAAATACCTTTATAATTTTAAATAGTAAAAAAATAAATAAATTTATGTTTGATATATATTATTTATACTTAATTTTTTATTTTAGTAAGGAAATAGTGAAATATGGAATAAAATAATATGTAATATCATAATACAATTTTTTTGCTTTATCCTATCTCTATATATATTTGTTTTCTCCTCTCTCTATATATATTTACTTGTTCATGTGTAAACTTGAATTCTCGATCTTTAAGGTAAGAAAAATAAGTTTTTGGTAAAGTGGACTCTCAAAATTCAAATATTTATTTTCTCTTTATGTTAGTTTTAATTTTGTTATTTATTATTCATTTGTAAATGATGTAACTGGATATTATATATCTAATTACAACTTTCTCACTGAGAAAATAAAGTCATAGACCGATTATGTAAATTATTTACGAATCATCAATTATTTATTTCAAGATAATGTTTGATGTTAGGTATGAAACAAATTGTTATCAACAAATTGTTATGTATATATATAACAACTCTTAATCATTATCAATTATAGAAAAAAAATATTTTACTTATTTAAGACATTTCAAAAAAAAAATTAAAAAAAATAATTCAGTAATAAAAGAAAAAAATTAATTAATTTTGGATACACATATAAAAAAAAAAAAAACAAATAATTTAATTAGTAATACATGATTATAATAATAATAAAAATAATAAAAAAGCAATTTACAGAAGAAATAAATTATCCTTTTCAAAGAAGTCTGTGTAATTAAGTAAAGAAGAAGAGAGACAACTAACATGAGTATAATAGGAAAGTAATATATAAAGTGCACAACTTTTGCCTTTTCAAAAAAGTCTGTGTAATTAAGTAAAGAGAATAGAGACAACTAACATGGGTATAATAAGAAAGTAATATATAAAGTGCACAACTTTTGCAAGAAAGTAAATTTTACTGTGTTTTTTGCGGAAAAATTTTGAGGGAAATTGTCATCAAAACTTTCACTTTCTCTCTAACCAAACTTTCAAAAAACTTAAATATTTTCCTTTTCTTTTCTTTTCTAGTTAGTTAACGCTAACCAAACGGACCCTAAGTTAAACAGAGTCAGAGTGGGAGTGCGAAAGTTTCAAAATCTAAAAAATTTTAAAGTGGGACAGTCGGTTTATTAAGTTTAAATAAAATTATATCAGAGGTCATGACATATATATTTTATATTTTTTTATTTATTTAAATCCATATGCAAATATATTAATTATTATTTATTCCATTAATGATATACATAATAAATAAGCTAACTTTTCTCTTAATGGATGCCTGATTTATTTATAATATTCTCTAATTGAAAAGTTTTTTAGTAATATATTTTCAAACATGTGTGTGAGTATATATATATATATATATATATGGTAGTATAGCAATGTCATATAGTTGGGCACACCTGAAATTTAAGTAATTAATGTATATATTGAGTAATAATGTTTGTAATAAGTGCATATATGATAATATAATTGTTCTATATCACTGGAACTAACAAATTTAGTTATATAAAATAAATTAGTATGAAAATTATGAAATCTCTTTGAATGAATTGTGTGACTTATTTTTTCTCTTTTATCTCGTTTATTATCTTTTTTCTCATTTTCTTGGAATCTTTCATTCCTACTGAAAATTAAATAATCCAAATTCAATGAAATATTTGTTGGTGAGTCCCACTCTATTGTCAAACTATCAACTCGATTGAACCGAACGTTATCAATAAAAAGTTGACTCTTGTGAAAAAAATGTGTAATAAACTACAAAACAATTGTAGGGACACAAAGTTAAAACTCACAAAATCAACGAGTCAAAAGCAAACAGTAGCACTTTTAGGGAAAAAAAACTTCGAGTATTGTGGGATACCGACAATGTATGTGAGAACACCCCTGCTTTTGAAGCATAATTTTTTTATTTTCAAATAATTAAAATTTAGAAAATTATACCAAAAAGAATATATTTTGTTCAATTTTTTGAAATTTAGTTATAAAAGACTATAGTTTTCAGTTTTCTAAATTTTGAAAAATTATTTTTTGAGTGACAAATTAAGCTAGATGAATCTCAATACCTATTGATTAGATTTGAACATCACTTGGAAGAAGTAAATGAGTATGAATTGACTGAGGAATTCTGCAATAGTCGGCTCGAACTGTTAGCTCGTTGTCAAAGTAGTGCGAATAGATTTACGTTGCTCGATTATCCTTCGAGCATATTACGACCGAATAGTTGTCTACGTCCATCCATTACGTCCATCCATTTTGCAATTACCGCGGTGACATTCTATTTTTGGAGAAGACCAAAAATATATATATATATATATCACATAATTCCTCAGTCAACAGTCACCATAAAAAGTGTTTGTAGTTGGACCTTGGGTTAGGCTGACCGATCTGCCTTCTGGTGTGTATCAGTCGATTGGGTCATGCTTCCGGCGCTGTTACTTTAAAAAAAATATACATTAGCATGGGATATGTCATAGGATTTCGGTCCTATATTACATGGTGACATTCTTGAATTTATGAAAGCCAACAATTGCGAAAATCATTTGCCAATGATTGAAGACCTATACTGAAAAGGATGCTCAAGAATATATTGAAAAAAAATATAAAAAAAATAAATAAAAATAAAGATAATCTGTACCCTAGCAATATATTAGACTCTAGCAGCAAAATATATGAAGTTACTCTTTCTCATCACAGTAGATTGTTTCCTTTGAGGCAACAACTAAGTCCCCACATATATATATATATATATATATATATATATATATATATATATTTGGAGCAACTTGTGTTTGATCAACTTAACGTAGGGTATTTTTGTCTTTTAATTTTTTATTTTATTTTATTTTATTTTTTTTGCATTTAACATTTAGGCAAAAATAACCAACCTCAAGAAAGCCAAAGGTTTCTTCCACACAAAAAGAGGACAGACGGATTTTCTTTCCACATGGAACTACGGTAAAAAGGCAGCCTCCCTCGTCACACCACCACCACATTGTCCTCTTTAAAGAAGAAAAAGGAGCACACTCCTATCAATTCCATCACATTGTGACAACATGTCCTAACCATTTTGATACACGCACATATATTATATCATATATATGATGGGCACCTCTAAAATTTCAATAAGTTTGTGAAATTCAGAAAATTGGTTCTACGCAACTCTTTCTGATAAATCTGATTCTCTGAATTCTCTGCGGTACACCACAGGGAATCCACTCAAATCTAGTTGGAAAAGGCTTCATGGTTCCAAGGAAACAACCATGAAAAGTGGAGAGTGCTTCTTTTAGCTGCATAAAATCCAGATTTAAAAGAGAAAAAAATATAAAAAAATTCCAAATGCTAATTTTTTTTTTTTAAAACTAATGCAAATTTTTCTGGAAAGCAGACTACTCTATACTAACTAGTGTTGAACCATCCCCCAATTCAATGCTCTCACCTCACTAAAAGACCCTTTAATACATATGTGTGTGTATATATATATATATATATATATATCTATCTTATAAGGGTCGTGTGCGTTTATGGATGCAACATCAACTTTGTTACCAGACGTACTTCTTTATGAAGGAAAAGTACACATTAAAGAGCCTTTGACTCATAAATGTTACACCACACACATATATATATATATACACACACAGACAATTCCTTCACGAACAAATGCAAAAAAGAAATTTTTTTTTTTTTTTTTTTTTTTCTTTTCACGAATTAATTCAAAGACTTAAATTGGAACAAAAATGACTAATTGATTCCTTACATAAATATTAATCTAAAAGACAGAAAAAGGCATAAATTGCCAGCAAATTACAGATTACTCCCCGGCATTTGAGAGAGAGAGACTTCAGTCTTCATCATTCTTGAATTCTGATGCCAGAAAAATACTTTCCTTTCTCATCTTCTGATGATGAATTGCATCCTTGAAAAATGGTTAAATTGGTAAATTTAAAAACTTACCACAAACCTCTTTTTCTCTTCTGCTTCGGATCAAAGCTCTTTCTTTCTCTAGACTGCAAGCTTGTAGATCTGAAAATCTGCCACCTTATTTCCCAATTAATTTTTTTTGTTTTGATCTTTCACTTCAAAGAAAAGAGAGTACAACAGAGACCATCGTAATTGTGTAAATTACAAAACTAGACAATTGAACAACACTAGACTGCGAGGAAGGTGGAGGGTTATAATAGTAAAACGGGAAGTACGGAACAATTGGGTTAGGAGGCGGCGGCGCGGGAAAGTTGCTGTACGGCGGAGGATAGTAGTAGGCGCTGCCGCTACCACCCGCCGGCGGAGGAGGCGAGTAGGTGTACGTGGGCTGAGACGGCGGTGGCGGCGAGTAGTAGTTCGTGCCGGAGCTGGGCGGTGACGGCGGCGGAGGGCAGTTTGACCCAGTTGAGGGCGGCGGAGGCGATGGAGACGGTGGAGGCGGCGACGGGGACGGCGGCGGAGGAGATGGGTTACATGGGTTTTCGCAGGCGGAGCACATTGTGCACTCGATTTGGTACTTTGACCCCACCCATGTGTTGGCGGTTGTTTGTGACACGTTTTCCGATAATGATATGATCAGAAAAGCCACCATAATCAGAGAACAGAGCTTCACTTTTTGGGTAATTTTATCCATTTGTGTACACTAAGAATCAGAGATTTTGATGGAAATTCGGAGAATGTGGATAGAAATTTGAGAGAATTTCACAACATTTTTTTTGCAGAGAATAAAATGAGACAGTAGAAGAAACGAGACCAGTAGAGACCAGAAGTCGTGAGTGCTGATGACAGTTTTAGAGAGAGAAAGAGTTAAAAGAGTTTTAGAGAGATAAAGGGAAGGAGAGTAGTGTTAGGAGTTCTAGTACTGGGTGGGGCTTTTATCTCTGATTTAGCACCATAAAAACTTACAAAGAAAGGTTTAAAAATGTCAAGTAATGCTAAAAGGGTAGTTTTTAGTTTCAAAAAGATGACCACCGACGCGTTTTACTTTACACCTCTCACCGCATTGTGTGTACGCGATTCCAAGGGTAATTTTGTCAACTTGGTCGAATTCTTAAGGGTTAAAAATAATTCATTTAAGGAAAATGATTATTGCATTAATTTATGGAAGTGAAAAGGTTAAATTTTCTTTTTTTAATTCGTCATTTATGTAGCAACTAAAGATGTGGTGTTCTCTGTTTACTTATATATAATTAGATAATTTACTGCAATAAATCGATATAAATATCACTGCTCTTTCTTTAATGATAATTTTTCTTGTATAATAAAATAGAAAAAAGAGAAGATGAAATTAAAGTCTTGTTTGGCAACCGCTCTTGTTCATGGTAATTTCCCGTCCCATTATGCAGTTTGGAATTATCATGTTAGGAACGAGTTTGAAAAAAAAAAATTTAAAACTTTGAACCCGCCCAACTAATAATTAATATATAAATAAATATTCTTTTATTAGATATAAATTTTATTCTTTCTTTATTTCTTATAATAATTTTAAATTTTAACTGTTGGTTAGTATGATTGTTAAATATTTGATTATACAAAATTTATTTTAAATTTATTTAAGTTTTAATTATATATATATATATATATATACACGTGTGTGTGTATATTGGGGTGTCCTGACCCCAACTCCAATACAAGGCGGCTCAAATTGAGTTTGGGAAAAAAAAAAAAAATTAATGGTAAAATGGTTTTTTTTAATATATATATATTTTAATATGGTAAAATGGGCTTATGAATGGGGGTATCTTGTTCTGAACCCAACTGTTGACGAAAGTATGTAAAAAAAATTTTGAGTATTATTTATCCTGATGATAAATAAATAAATTACTGTAAATAATGGTGGGCTTGACCTTTGCAGAGCTGTTCACACATAGTTAGGAGAAAATTGGATAATGATGGTGACGTGGGAGTGGAGCGTTATAGACGTAAAGACGAGGCAACGGCACTTGGGTGAGTTGGGTGGGTTTCCTGGTCTTTTTAATCTAAGCCCGGTACCAATAAATCATTTGTTAAAAGTGGACCCCATTGGACTGTCACTGTGCCCAAACCCACCATACTGTAGCAGGCAAACTTGGACTTTAAGACTCTTCATTCGGTTCATGTACAAGAGGGATAGATGCCATGATTCACATGGCTTATATACGAAAAAATAATAATAATAATAATAAATATGATAAATATAATTTTATTTAAATAAAAAGACAAATAAAAAAAAATAGTTGTAAAATAATATGCTAAATAAATATGATAAAAAAAATATAATTACAAATATAATATTTTAATTAAATACAATCAGTCATCGATAATGGACTTAAATTAACCAAATAATGTTATTTGAATCTAAATACTTCACCAGTCCCAAAAAAAAAAAAAAAAAAAAAAATTGTCACGAAGTATAAATTTTTAAGGAGACATGTGTGACATGCATTATCTCTTGAAAAATTACTAACTTAAGCTTTTAAGTTTTTAATATTCAAGTTTAAAATTTTAAACTCTAAGAACATATTTAAAAGAAATATATTGTTTGAAAAAAAAAAAAAAAAAAAAGGGGAAAAAGAAGTAGACAATTATTTGAAACAACCCAAAAAAGAAAGATGAACAATTTTTTTTGGGACGGAAAGTATACTTGTGAAACTTAATAAAATTCATATTTGTTAGAATTCAGAAACAACCAAAATCTTATAATCTTTATTGTGTTAAAAAATATGTGTATATATATATATATATATATATATTCTTTATTATTTTGTTTCCATAACTAAAATACAATTACTATAATTTGCTGGTCTAAAGTTAGGTAAAAACTCTACTATAAATACTACAATCCATGCGAGTAAGCATGTGCCCAAAGGGGTAGCTGCCCTGCCCATGCTAACCCATTAAAAAAATATATTTATAGCTATATATATGTATATAAATTTACATTATTCCCATCCTAAAATTATTTTTTTCTAAAAATATTTCCAATTCTTTCCTTCTTTTTCTTTTTACTCTATTTTTTCTTCTTCCTCTACTTTTTCTTCCATTTTTTTTATATTCTCCAAATAAATTTGCATTTCCTTTCTTCAATTAAAATATATGCATTATCCCACTGAAAAATTACTAACTTGAGCTTTTAAGTTTTTAATATTCAAGTTTAAAATACAAACTTGAGCTTTTAAGTTTTTAATATTCAAGTTTAAAATTTTAAACGCTTTTAAGTTTTTAATATCAAGTTTAAAATTTTAAATTCCAAGAACATATATGGAAATATTTGAAATATATTGTTTGAAAAAGAAAAGTGGACAATTATTTTGGAACAACCCAAAAAGAAAAGATGGACACTTTTTTTTTTTGGGAAGGAGGGAATGTAATGACCTGGTCATTTTCTTTCCTTTCCTTTTTCTTAGATTTTTCACAGATATTTTTTTTTCCGTTGATCTTTTCTTTTTTCTCATCACTTAGTGTCATCTTGAGTGCTCGGCGATAGTATTCGAGACTCTTTTTTTTGGATTGGCGACTTCCTTTGAGGACCGAGTCATTTCTATATTTTCACTTTTTGGACACTATTCACTTTTCATCTTCTTTCCTATTTTGTCTTTTCCCCGTTTGTCACTTTGTTGGCATAGCCTCACTTTTGTGTTCGGAATTGGTTTCTGACTTAATATATCTTCATTCTAAGTGGTTTTCACGAAATACGTATATTTACTTTTGTGAAAAAGCTCTCTAGTTGTTCCCAGTGTCCATAAGGATATGGATGTATAGTTTTTCAGAAATATTTTTTTTTCTTGGGGTATTTTTCATAAATATCTTTTGAAGATATTTTATTTTAGAAGTTTTTAAGAAAATATTTTTGGAAGATATTTTCATTCTGGGCCATTAGTACAGTTATCACTTTTTGGAGGGCCATTGTGTAATTAATAAAAGTTATTGCAAAAATGCCTTCTTTTGAGTCTAGATCCTCGTACATGATTCATTTTCACTTTTTGTCGAGTTGCGTACTCTTAGAATTTCTTTCTGGTCATTTTTCTCCAGTTTCAGGGTTTTTGGCCCTAGTTGCCGCCGAACTTGTTCGGGATATATCCTTTTGCTCGGAACTCAGTTTTCGACGCTGTTTCTTCTGTTATTCATATTTTATCATTTCGGTTCTTTTTAGTTCACGGAGTTTTACCGTTTGAGCACATCTGCGCGAATTTCACTTTTTTGAACCTAGCGGGACCCGTTCGGGACACTTTTTAAGTTTTTATATAAATACAGGGTCTTAGAAAGAAAAATCAGATTTTTCTCTCTCTTTCCTCTCTCTTGGCCGGATTCCATGGCAGCCATGGGCTGCCACCTTCTCTCTCCTCTTTTGAGTCTCCTCCCCTTAGTAAAACGCCGTAGTGTCTTAGCGTTTTATGTTCGCCTTGGCGAGACCTTCGATTCCACCGATTGGAATCTCGTTTTGGCCATTTCTTGAGTTCAGGTTTTGAATTCAAGTTGTGATTTTGATGGGGCTTCCTTGGGGTTCTTGTTCACCGTGTTGTCCCTTACGAAATTTCGAAGTATCGTCAAATTCGGAACGGTTTCATTTTGTTGGCTTTTGAGATTTTCATCTCAAATTAAGATATGGGGTGTTTTAGGATTATGTATGTGTTGTATTGAGTGTTTTTCATGATAATACAACTTGTTTGCATGTCTTGTATCAAATTTAGAAAATTAGTAATATTTATTTCTTTGTATAAGATTTAATTTACAAGGATGTATATAGCTTATAATTGAATTGTGACATGATGATAAATTATATTTTGATATGTTTGTTAACATATATTAAATTAGAATTATTTGAATAAGAATTGCACTTCTTATTTAATAATTATCTTTTGTGAAAGTTTAATTCTCACGGATGTACCTTGCATAAAATTAACTTGTGATACACTTTTAAATTAAGTCTTGGCATGTTCTTTAACATACTTTAATTTGAGAGCATTTGGGATGAGTATGAAAATCTTGAGATTTTATTAAAATGATTAATTAAAATCTATTTTAAAGGTTCCATTGGCTTAATTAAGTTTTTAACTTGTTATTGGTGATAACTAGGACTTGTATATTAGCATATGTTAATTTGGGACCATTTGATGTTGTTTTAGGAATTAGGGATTTGACTATCATGATTTAATTAAATTCCATTTTATTGTTTCAATGTTCTAATTAAGTTTTTGATTTGGTATATGTAATGACCATATTATGTTTTATAACATGTGATTAATTAGGGATCATTTGATTGAGATTTGAAACTTAGAGAAATTAATTTTTTACTTAATTAATTTTTGTTTCTATTGCATAACTGATTAAATCATGTGTTTGACATTTGTGTTATGTTTGAAGCATGATTTTAGACTTGTAATGGATTTATGAGTTTATGTTTCCAATATTGGATTATATTATTATAGCGTGTAACGCACATTGAAGATTCGACATGTGATGTTGTTATAGCGTGTAACGAATCGCACTTTGAAGATTCGACATTATCATCCTATAGTAGTTGTGGATTTAGAGCATGTATTGTGTGGTTTCAACCTACTTGTGCATGGAATGTAGTTTCGTGCTTTATATATATTTCGTATATAAGTTGTTAACTTATTTATTTTGAAGTCACTTGGGACATTATTACTGAGATATGGCTAGAGTTTGGCTCTAGTATGGGAGGTATAAGTTCTCCTTATTTTATAGTGCGCACTAGGGTGATCTTCCCAGCGGGTTAATGCCCGGAATAACCATTGAGGTCTCGGCAGAATTCCGAGCTTGATGTCCAAGTCTTCCACTATTTGATTTCGCATTCAATTCGAAGTTGACAATTATGTTTAATTATGACTTGTGGTTTTGTTATTGACGATTTAATGTTGTTAAGTACATTTAGA